CTCTACCACTGAGCTAAATCCATAACCCCTAGTATTCTGAATCTGAATAAGAAAACTGTTTAAAGGCTAGCAAGATAGCAGGTGAGCTGAACCCATGTTTTCTGGAACCCATGTAAAGGCAGAAGGAGAGCACCTACTCCACAAAATTGTCCTCTGACTTCTACAAATGTGCTGTAATGCGTGTATGTGTGCACACACACAGACACACACAAATAAATTTTTTAATCACTAAAATTTTCTTTTTTGTCTAACATCATTTCCATATTTTAAAATAAATCTAAAATAAACAGCAATAAATCATTAGCAGAAAATCTTAAAATGAGATAGAATATAACTACATTTATTAAGAATATATTCCGGGACTGGACAGGTGGCTTAGGGGTTAAGAGCACTGGTTGCTCTTGCAGAAGACCCAAGTTCAATTCCCAGCACCCATTTGGCGGCTAACAACCCTCCGTAACTCCAGTTCCAGGGAAATCTGGCACCTTCTGACCACCACAGGCATTGCATGACACGGGTGTACTTACATACATTCAGGCAATATGCTCATACACGTAAAACAATAAAAATTAAAAAAAAAATTTTTTTTTTGTCTTTTTGAAGCAGGGTGTCCCTGTAGCCCCAGCTGTCCTAGAACTCACTATGTAGACCAGGATGGCCTTGAACTCACAGAGATCCACCAGCCTCTGCCTCCCAAGTGCTGGGATTAAAGGCATGCACCACCACACCCAGCTTTAAAAAAATTTTTTTAAAGAATATATTCCAATATCAAATGGCAGAGTTCAACAATGCAAAGCCACATGATTTTTGCACCAACCTAATGTTTAAGTGCTTCACAGTTTAAAAGACTATTCCCACCTTTTCTTAAACCAATGCTGAAAAACAGACTCCTACAAAGTACGTTTTTAGTACGCTTATTTCCCAGATGAGAAAACTGAAGATGACAGCGCAAACAGGCATAAGTTGCACAAGATTACAAAGTAAACAGGCAAAGCTGAGCCAACTGCAAGTTGATCCCCTCCAAACATGCTTTAAATCTCCTCCAATCTACCATCTCGTCATCTTTGTACTGCAGTCATAGTGTGCCTACAAATGATGTCTTAACTCTACTTTTAACTTTTCTACTTTTAACCTATCACAATCTTTCTATTTGTCTATAAAGGACTTCCAGAAAGATTTTTAAATTAATACCCAAACAAAAGTGAGTTCAGCAGTAAGTTGAACATGTTTCACACACCCAAACACAAGTGAGTTCACCAGTGAGTAAGTCGAACATGTTTCACAGATTTCCACTCAAGTGGAACCTTATCAGTGGTTTCAGAGTTCTAAGCCAAGATCAAGATTTGCAGGCTTAGGTTATCCTCTGTTTTTCCCTCTCCTTAATTACTTCTTTATTTAAAAAAATGTTTAATGCTTTTGCCCCAAAAGAGGTCTGGTCTTTGTGCTCAATTTCTGGGAGGTAATTTATATCATTCAAGAGTTATATTTGTTTAGGGTAAGCACTGGCCATACCCGGTAGTCACAGACTGTGGTTTTGTTTTAGGGTGGTGACTATGGGTCACAAGGTCTCAGTAGAACTGGAGAATATCAATCATTCATGTCTAAGTAATGAAGCCTCAGTACAAACCCTAGGTACTGAAGCTTGGGTGAGCTCCCTCAGCTTGCAATATTCAATAATGTGCATGTCACACAATGGATGCCGGGAAAGCACCTGTCTTGAAGACAACAGCAGCTTTATTTTCAAAACTTCCCAGACTACCCTCTATCCTCCCTTTAGTCAATTTTAATCTGTATTCTTTCCCTATAATAAACAGCAAAGGTGAATTTGATTGCTTTCAGGGAGGTCTATAAGCCCTTTTGGTTAACTGCCAGATCTAGAGATCGCTTTGGGAAACCCCTGAACTTGCTGTTGGTGTCAGAAAGGACAATTTTATGAACTGTGCCAGCAAACCATGCTCTGGTCAAACAGGTATAAACCAAACAGTTACAGAGTCAGTTTCTACCATTTTTTTTCCTGTAAAGATTTAGACTTAACACTTCCAGATGATATTTTCCAACACTGTACTGTGGCCTCCAGTGCCCTGCACTTCTCCACTGCTTGGTTAGAAATGAGAGCAGAGGGTAGTGGGGTCTTATTACCACAGTTAGATGTGAAAAACCTACTGGTCCAATGGAGTGGACATAAGCTTTGGAATCTACCACTCACTACTGAGCGATCTTGGGAAAATATTAGCCTCTCTAAGCCTTGCTACGGAAACTACAGACAGAAACATTCTAAAACAACTGTGAGGGTTAAGATAGAAAGAAGCAGGGCTGAAGAGATGGCTCAGCCGTTAACAGCACTGGCTGCTCTTGCAGAAGGCTCAGGTTTGATTCCCAGCACCCACATGGCAGCTAACAAATGTCTGTAACTCCAGTTCCAGGGGATCTGACACCCTCTTCTGACCTCTGTGGGCACTGCACGACATGGGGGCATTTACATACATGCAGGCAATACATTCATACACATAAAATAAAAATAATAATTTTTTTTTTTTTTGGTCTTTTTGAGACAGGGTCTCCCTGTAGCCTCAGCTGTCCTGGAACTCACTATGTAGGCCAGGCTGGCCTTGAACTCACAGAGATCTGCCTGCCTCTGCCTCCTGAGTGCTGGGACTAAAGGTGTGCACCACCACACCTGGCTAAAATAATAAATTTTTTAAAAAAGAAAAGGGGGGAAGTAATCCAGCGTGTACCACACTCACAATAAATCATAATTATTCTCTTCAGATGCTAATCATTATAAAAGGCCATATTACTCGTCTATAGTTTCTCTCAAGTCCATGCTGCCAGATCTTTCCCAAATTGTTTTTCATCCCACTACCACTGTGTTATACACACACACACACACACACACACACACACACACACACCTATTTACACCTAGATTACCCAGCCTAACTGGGGATTAAAAAGCATGGCTAATAGTCTCTGATTCTGGAATCATTCTGAGAGCAAAGTCAAGTCCAGTAAATTTTTTCCGATATATCTCTTAATAATAAGGTATCTATACAGCTACTTATCCCAGGTCTCTCTTTCCTCACTCTGCTCCTCTACCGGGACTGCCTCCTCAAAAAAAAAAAAAAAAAAAAAAAAATCAGATTCATTTCTTCTCTGAAGACAGAGTACCCTTACAGTTTCCTAACCAGAATGCATGTGATGAACGGATTGTAATGATACACTCCTCTGCCTTTCAGGCAACAGGGGCAAGGATTTCTAAAGGGTGAGGGTGTAATGTGGTCAATCCACACTCAGCATTTGCTTGTGGACAGTTATGTCAATGACCCACACAATTACCATGACCTGAAAAGATTGTGAAGTAGGCTGGAGTGATAGCTCAGCAGTTAAGAGTACTTGCTGCTCTTGCAGAGAAATTGAGTTTGAATTCCAGCACCCATATCAGGTAGCTCACAACTTCCTGTAACTCCAGTTCTAGTGGATTTGACATATTCTGATGTCTGTGGGTACTTGCACATACCCACACACAAGCATATATATCACAAAGATTTTTTTTTTAAAGAAAGAAAAAGATTGTGAAGCAATGCCTTAAAAATGCCACATAAAGGTGCATTTCTGGAAAACCAATATGGACAGTTTGAACATTGTCATTTTATTTTTTCAACACTGCACCTAAGTGTGAAGAAGTGTTTCAGGACTTGGAATTTACAACACCACTTCTTCCAAGTCTTTAAGTTCCAAAATTCTTCCATACCTTCTAATTTACTCTTAAGATTTATACCTGCACTATGAACATCTGATTATCTATTTACAATTCATAAGTTCTCCCTATGAGAGTCTTCCTGCAAAAATTTCCCACAGGGCATATTTACCAAAGTGGTAATAAATGTTATTTTGACCTGGGGACCCTTAAAAATGATAAGATGTCAAAGATAAAGTGTGGGCCTCACTATTTCCTGGAGCTGTAGACTACCTGAGAGAAGACTGGCTGATTGGAAAGACCTTTGGAAGAATTAATAAGGGAGCAGTAAATTAAGTCTATAAGGCAAATGAGAGACCATACCCTGTCACCATATTGGGACTGTGACCACGTCTCCCAAGATCATCTGTCATCCACAGCCTCCCCTGGTCTGGTTCTTTTCAAATGAACTTCAGATCTCAGAACAAACTTTCTGCCTCACACCATCTTTCGGCTTCTATAGGTTTTCCTTCCTCTTTACCTGGTCAACACCTACAATTCCTACAAGTAACACTAGACCACGTTTCCTGGGAGTGCAAAGCGAATCTGTGAGCGGTGTGCCTGTCTTCAGTAGGTGCTCCGGATCCCATGAAAAAGCGGAGGAATGGGCAATGTAACCACAGCTCTTGCTGCGGGTCCACTCTTCGAATACTTCGCTGCTCCCCTTTCTAATTCTACCTTAACAGCTTTCAAGTGGACTGCCGTAAATTACCTCCGCTCTCGCAAAGGACCAGGGCAGTAAGAGGATCGCCGTGCGTCCCCAGAACGGTCCACAAAGCTAGAGACCCGGTGGGGAGGCTCAAGAGGTGCCAGCAGGGTGAGTACAGAAGCGGAGAGCCGCGGGAGCATACTCGCCGCAACCCCGCCGCGCCGCCCGCGCCCGACCCCGAGGGCTCCTAGGAGGAGACTGCGCGCAGCTCCCAGACCCTCCCGGCTGCCTCCCGCCAACTCCAGCCGCCGGAGGCGCGGCGGTCCTGGAGCTCCGGCTCGGGAGGCGGACACCCACCCGGGCCGCGATGGGGAACCGGAGGGTGGGAAGGCTGCTCCTCAGCCCCGCCGCTGCGCCTCCCACCTGCCGGCGAGGGCGAACCTCGCACGGCCAGGCGCAGCCCCGCGCCTCAGGCAGCCGAACCCCGGCCCGCGGCCGCGCCGATACCCAGCAGAGGCTGCGGTACGGGGTGGCGGCCTGGGCCTCCCTGTGGAGCCCTCCGTCTCCTCAGCCGGCCGCCCCCCGCGCTCCAGGCCCGCAGCCCGGCGCACTGACCTGGAAGCGCAGCGCCATCTTCGCGGAGCCGCGCGGGCCACCAGCCCCGAGGCTGAGGGGAGGGGTAGGAGGCCGCCGCGCAAGGCCGGCCGCCGCGGGGTCCCCACGCCGCTCGCTCGCGTCGCCCGCTCGGTCAGCGTCCCGCCTGGCGCGGGACTGGGCGGGGCGGAGGGGCGGAGGCGCTGGCGCGCTAGGGCGCGGGGCGGAGGGGCAGTGTCCTGGGGCGGCGACTCCCAACCGCCCGCGGGCTGCAGTTCCAACCGCCGAGGCCTCAGGCTTGACCCTTGACCTCTGCCCTTTGACGGGCCACCATAGCCCTACTGTAGGTCAAGGCCGACTGGTGGTCGTGCCCCGCCCCGCCCAATACGTGCCCCACTGTGTAGGTCTGCATGGCCCGGAACTCCCTATGTGGACCAGGCTGCTCTTGAACTTGCTGCTATTACAGGTGTGCATCACTTCCAGGTTCTGTGGAGTAGGCGGTGGCTGAAGGGATGGTTCTGGGGCTTACTGCAGAGGCGTTGGGCACCCACACATCCTTAGGCTCTTAGCTGCCTGTAACTCCAGCTCCAAGAGATGGGACTGGCTCAGACACAGGTGCATACACAAAATTTTAATATAAATAATTAAGTTACCACAGGCCATCGTGATTCCTATCATGCATGATTCCTGTCATGAGTCAACAAATAACATCACTGTGGCTCCCAAGATCACATCTCCACAGATTTATCTCCTAAGACCCGGTGATCCCAACATGCCATGCCAGCTGTTTCCCTCAACCGATGGCTGCCCTTACCTTCTGACCCCCAGAACCCAATTTCCATTGTTTCTTTGAATTTTTTTTAACTTTATTAAGTTTAAATCAACAGTGTCTGTGTGGCATTAAATTGTAAAATTCTGGCTTGCCTGTACATCCTTATCTACAACGTTATTTTATATGAATGTGTACTTTAAATTATTCTGTTGAAATGAGAGTGTATTGGAGTAGGAGTGGAGTCAAAGTCACTCCTTCATTCTCCAAAGTTCAACACTTTCATTTGGGAGCATTGTACTTTTGTATTTAAGAAGGACACTCCCTTAAATATTTCCTATCCTTTAGGTCTATTAAGAGCAAATTCTCTCAGCTTTTGTTAATTTGAAAGCATTTTTATGTCATCATCAGTTTTTCAAAAGTAGCTTTGCTGGGCATAAAATTCCACATAGTGGTATTTTAAAGATGTCTTTCTATTGCCTTCTGCTTGTGATTGTTTCTGCTGAGAAGTCTGACTATTGTAACTTTGAAGACAATACACCCTGCTACTTGAAAATTTTCTCTTTCTCTTTGCTCTTCATCAGTTTGAATTGTCATTAAATCTGTGTGTCTTAGTTTATCCTGCTTCAAATTCATAGTTTCTCACATGTGGGATCTGACATGTTTTCTACTATTAATTTCACCATTCTTTTCTGTATTGTTCTACACACACACACACACACACACACACACACACACTTCTTTCATTCTGTAACTCCAAATACATGTATGTTGGAACTTTTTGTGATATTCCTTATGCCTCTTACATTCTTTTCTGTGTTTCTTGTGTGTGTGCATGATGCACACATGCTTTAAACTGAATTTTTTCTACTCCATTGCCCATTCAGTAGAAACCCAACTCTACTATATCTTAATTGGTACATAACCTTTCTTGAATTTATACTTTTACTGAAAATGGTTTCAATCCAAATTTTCATTCGATACTTTCTAACACTTTTTAAATAAGTCCCAAGACTCTAATAAAATTGTTTTTCTTTTCTCTATTTTCTTAATGTTTTGGTCTTATTTCAAGTCCCTGTATGGTAGCTCCAATATCTCAATAATATGACTTACCCAATTTTTGGTATTTGGCCCTCTTTTGTTAGTTAACTCCCTCTCCACATGATGATAATGTCTTGTTTAATTCAGATAGTGTGGAAGAAAAACTGTAGAGGCTCTGGGTGATGTCAATAGTCTCCAAAGTGGGAAAAAATAGTCTTATGTAATAACTAGGCAGCTAAGAGTATATCTCATCTAATCCCATTAACATTTTTTTGGGTTTTCTAGTGCTGGCTTATTTCAATTTAGTCCTTATTCCTAGATTATGATCCTTCTCAGGTATTATAACTGAAACTTCGAGATCTTTACCTTGTAGAGCTTGGACACTAATCTCTGGCCCCCAGCACTATGTAGTTGCTAAAAACTCCTCTTTTTAACTCTAGGTGCTGCAGTTTCAGTGGACTTTGTGAAGTCTCTCCTCTTAGACATTAATGTCTTACATTAGACAATGCTCATCTTAGACATTAACAGAGGATTTACAATGAATTTGTAAACAAGTTTTTTTAAATTTTTACAAAAACTTTGAGAGTTTCATACATGTATATAAGGTGTTTTGATCAAATCCATGCCCACTCCCTCCCACCATCCCCTCCAACATCCCCCTCTCTGAAGACATAACCCT